AAATTCTCTAAATACTGATATTTAGGCTGCTGCAATGACTTCGAGTAAACGTAAACGTTCTCGAAGCGTACACCGTGCGGGCTCTCCAACAAACTTATCAGCGCGTTCGTTTTACCACAATTAGAGGGACCGCAAATGATGCAGCGAATAGCGCTCGGTAATAGACGACCGTGTCTGCGCGCTTCCTCAGACGGTCGCGCCCTACTATCGAGATTCGTCACCCTTATCGCGATCGGCTGCCGCACGAAGTGCATTCCTCTCGCCGCGCGTGAGCGCGGTACACTCGCGCGAGGCAAGGCGAGATCTTTTTATTTATATACGAATAGATCGCCGTCGATCGCGCAGTAGCGGATTGCGCGCGGTGAACCGAGATGTTTATCCTACTAGTAGACGGTGACGATATTCTCGATTTCACCACCGATCAATTGCGGTTTATCCCGAAAGTAATCTTGCTAAAGCACTTCAGTCGCTATGTGGAACGATTGTGGGAGAAACTGCCCGAACATATAAGAGTGGATCCGGAGGTGCGGCGCTACCGTCGATGCCTGGAGCATTACAATCGTCCCTGGCAACGAACGCACATCGACGGCCCGGCGCCGCTCGTTAAAGATTGCGGCGAATGCAATTCGTGAAGCGGCGATACGGTGTAATCGGTGATATCGGCGGCGCCGGCTTATTGAACAGAGCGATAAACGCGCTCTCCTTCGAACTACACATACCCGGATATCAATTTTGCGGGCCGGGTACCCGTCTCGCGAAACGACTCGCGCGAGGCGATCGAGGCATCAATCCTCTGGACAAGGCCTGCCGCGAGCACGACGTCGCGTACTCGCGAAGCGGCGAGCTCGCCGATCGACACATCGCCGACCGCGCGCTCGCTGAGAGAGCGCGCAAGCGCGTCGCGGCGAGGGACTCGACTCTCGGCGAGAGAGCTGCCGCGACGGCCGTATGGATAGCTATGAAATCGAAAACAAAACTCGGAATGGGCGCGACGAGAACCAAGAGAAAGAAGAGCAAGAGGAGAACGACCGCTACGAGAAAAAGAACGCTTCCGATAGTGGAACGCGGCGGCTTTTTGCCCCTGCTGCCGTTCTTGGGAGCTCTCGGTTCTTTGGCTGGAGGAGCGGGAATCGCGAAAGCGGTGAACGATCGCAAAGCGGCGCGAAGACAGTTGGAGGAACTGCGACTTCACGATCGCGCAATGGAGGGTCGTGGTTTATACCTTGCACCGTACAAGCGCGGAAGTGGCGCGTCCGCGACGAGTAGAAGAGGAAGAGCTAAAAAAACACTTCGCGTAAACAAACGCTAGGGATCCTTCCATTCGTCGGAGTAACGACGAACGAACAGTTAAATCGCGCGGCGATACCCTCACACGTGCCTCACTTTAGAGGCGTGTTTATGCGCGATGCGCTTCCATCGCGGGCGCGCCGCGATAAGAGCGGCATCGTGAATTTAGACGACGCATCCGGCCCGGGTACTCATTGGGTGGCCTACGAGGCTATAATATCGACCGTCGTTTGTCGATCGAGCGCAGTTCGACCGCTCTCGTCGATCATGTCGCTGACTCTCACTCTATCCGGACGAAGCAGCATTCTCGCGGCGAATTACTTTCCGCCTCTGGATTTAAACGACGATGATTACGAGTTAGGTTTAACCAATTTCGAGACTTATAACACGATACCGAATGTAAATTCCACAAATAATAAATTTTACTTTGACGACAACGACGAGGTTATCGCGATTCCAGTAGGATCTTACGAGTTAAGCGCTATAAGCGCGTATCTAAGAGCCGCGATTCATCGCAAACGACTTTTACTTCGATGACAACGACGAGGTTATCGCGATTCCAGTGGGATCTTACGAGTTAAGCGCTATAAACACGTATCTAAGAGCCGCGATTCATCGCAACTGACGAGCGAGAGAGGAGAGACGAGAGCGCGGGAACGAGGAACTGAAAACGAGCGATGACGATTATATATATAACGTCGGCGACGACCGCGACGACTATTTCGAAAACGATGAGAACGGTGATAAGAGTGAAAATTCTATAACGCTTCGCGGTAACGATAACACTATGAGTAGCGAGATCAAGTGCGCGTATCGAGTAAATTTCACAAAACCCGATAACATCGGTTCGCTACTGGGTTTCTCGTCTCGCGTGTTACAATCAAATAAATGGTGCGCGTCCGATAAACCGATAAATATTATGGCTATTAATCTCATTAGAGTAGAATGCAACATCACGACGGGAGCGTATCACAACGACAAATCCGCGCATACTATACACGAGTTCGCGCCTAACGTTCCACCCGGATATAAAGTGTCGGAGATCCCGGCGCAGATCATTTACCTCCCGATCATCGCGCGGACCATTACCGATATAAACGTGCGTGTCGTGGATCAGAACGGAAGACTAATCGATTTTCGCGGCGAAGAGATCACAGTTCGTCTGCACGTGCGGCGAAGACGATAGAAAGGCGCGCGATGCTCGTAGTGAACGGGTCGAATGCGAGAAACGCGCCCGTCGTCGCTATCGCGTCGCCCCTAGACGCGAAAAAGAGAAAGAAAAAGGGAGGAAGGTTAACCACCGCTAACGCGGCTTTCCTGCGCTCTTTGGGTTTCGTCGTACCAAGAACCGTTTCTCCGTAAAAGTGAAATGTGTGACATTCTAAGCATCGGCGGGGAGCCGATCTTCGACGATCGTATCGTCAAGATTGAAACTCACACATACAATCCTTACGCTAATACTACTTTCCTGCGCTCTTTGGGCTTCGTCGTACCGAGAACCGTTTCTCCGTAAAAGCGTAATGTGTGACATTCTAAGCATCGGCGGGGAGCCGATCTTCGACGATCGTAACGTCAAGATCGAAACTCACACGTACAATCCTTACTCCAATACTACATTTGGGAATAGCGACGAGATACGAATTCTTATACAACAGCAAGATCTGTACACGTTACCGTGCGATAGTTTTCTCTACATCGAAGGTAGACTCGAGTCGAAGGAGTCACCGAGTGCGCAGGAGGAAATCGCATCGGTGACGAGGCTGGTGAACAATTGCGTGGCGTTTATGTTCGAGGAGATTCGCTACGAGCTCGACGGTGTGGAGATCGATCGAAGCAGAAACGTTGGGATAACGAGCACGATCAAGAATTACGCGTCGCTGACAGTCGAAAAAGGCAAGATATTAAAGAACGCCGGATGGGACTTATCGGCGGTAACTCATTCGTCGATCAACGATTTCAACTTTTGCGTACCTCTCAATGTGTTATTAGGATTTTGCGAGGATTACAAGCGTGTCGTGATCAACGCGCGACACGAACTTATTCTGATACGAGCGCGTAATGATAACAATTGTATCATATCGCGCGAAACGCAAGAGCCTAAAATCGTTTTATTAAAGATACAGTGGCGAATGCCTGTATTTTTTAAAAATAAATTTATCTTTACATATTAAACGAACACTATTTTTATCGCGAGCGCGTATCTTTTCGCGATAAGAGAGCGCCAACGCTTACTACGAAAGGCGCGAAAAAGGATAGCGCGAGAGCGAGAGGATGTCGAAGAAGGAAAGAGAAGCGAAAAGAATCGACGCTTCGTTTAACATATAGCGTTTATTCGTAAAAAATCACATTTTACAAATGCGCGCGTGCGATACACGAAGTATATAAGTACGAACAAAAATCAAATTTTATTAGCGTGTAAAGTTACACCTCGAAGAACGGCTGCGATTCGGGCTTGTAACCCTCCAATCGTACATTCGCCGGCGGTTCACCCTCGTCGACCGTCGACGGTTCGGCCTCGTCCTCCATCGGCTGCGATTTGGGCTCCTCGCCGATTAGCTGCGATTCGGGCTTCTTGTCGATCGGTCACGATTCGGGCTCCTCGTCGATCGGCCGCGATTCGGGCTCTTTGTCGGTCGGTGACGCGACGACTCGCCTATCCTCGCGTCCGTGAAGCCTGTCGATCAACTCAGGGACGGCGAAGTCGCGATCGCGAAACTCGAATTGCTCGGGGGCTCGCGCGACGTCGCGTCGGCGAGCGTCACGCAACGCGTTGTGAACGCTTTGCGCCTGCGCGAGCATAGTCCTCGTCTTCGTCACTAGATCGTAGAGCGATTCTCGCGCCGCTCTTATGCAGTCCCCTATCTGTTGTCTAAAGTAAAAGAGTTATTAAAAGATTATAATTTATTATAAAAAGTATTATAAAAAATTCCGATCGAATATTTACATTAAACGCGCGATATGGGTGTCTCCGTCCAACTGAAAGGTGAGTCTGAACGAATCCGGACTGTTCTCGATAACGCCTCGCGCCTCCTCGCGCAGATCCGAGGCGAGATCTCCCAAAACGTAGGACTTTATCGCGATTAAATCTCCGTTTACATTAATGTAATCGGCCGCGTTAATTATCTGCTCGATTCGTTCCATATCGAGCAGTTCGCGACCGATTTTAACTCTTGCTATTTCGCACCTCGCCACTTTGCTCTTCGCCGTCTCGCGCTTCGTCGCCTCGTCACTTAGCTATCTCGCGAGCGAGAATACTTTGACGCTTCTCGAAATGATCTCGCGTTTATAAAGATCGACACGCGGATGCCGCGGTACGAGCGGAGATAAACAAGTAATAAAAATAGATTATAGAGGAAAAAATAACAAAGAATACAACGGTATGCGCATTACATCTACCACAAGCGAAAACCGTGTACATGTAATGCGCAGAGCGTTGCGTGTTGCTAGCGTGGGCATTCTGGCATCACTGCTCGAGCGTCCGCTACATAACACGCGTCCCGGACGCTCGACCGGTGTTCGCTCGTCGTCGAAAGGGCGCGTCCCTCTAATCGAGGCGGGCCGCGACTCTTCCTCGAACGAATCGTCGACGCATTTCCCTCTCCCCCACCCGCGTCGAATTCGCCGACGATAAAAATAGGCGTCTTGCCGAACGCGCGAATCAATCGCGCCCGGCGTCTCTCGATAGTTTCCCACGTCTTTCCCCGCTCTGCGTAATGACTAACGCGAGGACGGTTCTTTTCGTCCCAGCGACGACGCTCGTCGCCGCGACGGTCGCCGCGCCCGTCGACTTGGAGAAGGCCGAGGCGCTCCGCTTCCTGCGCGCGTACGGTTTTCTGAAGGACAACGGAGAATCGCTGTCGTCCGATAACGCGACATCTCTGCGTCGCGCGTTGTTGCTGTTTCAGGAATACTATCAATTATCGGGAAACGGCGCGTTAGACGCCGTTACGCTTAGCCTTATGCGCAAATCGCGATGCGATCTCACGGACATTCCTGATCGCACATACAGCCCGATCGCGCGAAAATGGCCGAAAACGCGTCTCACGTGGAACTTTCAGGTAGCCAGCGAGGAACTCTCGCGAACGGCCGAAGCAGCGTTCGCGTTATGGCCGGTGAATTCGTCGCTAACCTTCGCGCGCGACCCGCTGCGACCCGATATACTGATATCGTATCGAACGGGCGCGCACACTGAAACCCTCGGGCGATCTCGCGCTATTCGCGGACAATTCGATCTACCTCGCGGAATATCCCAGCCTTAAACTAAAATCGGCGATGGTGTCTCCCAAATAAATTTCATGCGCTATTTTTAATCTTGGTATGTATTCCATTTTTATTTCTGGATTTTCTATTCTTACATAAAATAATGATTCAGATCGCGGAGCTACTATAATGGCTTCAGATGATAAGAAAGGTATGTTGATTCCGGAAACATTCAAGTGTCCTTGTGCGTAATCTATTTTCGACGAGGTTTGTTTAAAGATACGAGTAGTTAAGTTGTCGGTGTTGATTTGAACGATAGGCACGCGACTATGTTTATCGAGGTTTACACTCACGGGCCTTGTGGTTGTTCTGTCTTTGTTTATTTGGCTGCCTGAGGTTTGGACGGGTGCGGCTCTTGTTCGGACGTCGAGGGGCCGTTGTAGTTTCTCTGATTATTTCTTTTTTTCCGAAGATTACTAACATGGCGTAATTGACAATTCTCGAGAAGATGACTTTGCTCCTTACAATAGCGACAGAATAAAGAATTCTTTGATTCCATTTGCTGATTTATTTTTGATCGACAATCTTTAGCAATATGCCCGAAATTATTGCAAATTTGACAGACTAGAATCGCGGTTCCTAAATCAATCTGGTTGTTAATTTTCTGAGACGTTTGTAAATATTTCCTACAGTTGTTACCCACGTGCCCTTCCTTATAACAGATATGACAGATTTCCTTTAGGCTGTTAGATCTCTGTCTACCTGAAACGCTATCTGTTCCCTGTCGTAAATCTGTCATTTCTCGGAGCTCTCTCTCTATTCTTAAAGCATCGGCTACAGTTTCTTGTACATCTAATAAGTTTCTCGCAACTCGTTGCTCAATTGCTGGTTTTAGCCCTCTAATGAAACACTTGCACATGTCTTTTTCCAATGACGCTTTAATATTTTGGTCAGATAACACGTTTCCCGAACTTCTATATGCTTCTAAAATTTGTTTCCCGAGAATTTTTACTCTATTTGCATATGTAATTACATCTTCATCCCCCTTTTGATATATACACCCCAATTCCCCTTGTAATTGATAAACATTTTTTGGTGGTCCATAAATTTGCTTTAAGAATTTAGTTAATTTGGAGACGCTATTAAAATCTTGGTCTTGTATAGTTCGGCGAGCTTCACCTATTATCCTAGTTCTTATTATTTTAGTAAACTGTGGTTCGGCCTCACTAGGCAACATGGATTTCGCTTCTTCACATCCTTCAATAAAATAATTTAAAGGAATGTTTTGACCGTCAAAATAAGGGACGGCTTCGACCGCGTATTTCAAAGTAGCGAAAGGATTATTTTGAGTCATGTTGCCGCCGGTACCGCTCGGGCCTTCCTTTCTTTCAGATTTATCGAATTCAGATATAAAAGTCTTATCGCAAGAATCGGCGAAGTTAGTTTCGCTAAACTTTTTTTCGAAATCTTTTTCAATTACTGTTTCGTCTAACGAAAAATTAATACCAGTAGTAGTAGATTTTTTAGGAGTAGGTAGGCAAGAGAGGAGGAAGTGGCGTGGAATGTGGAGGGGAAAGCGCACGGCGGTAAAGAAGAGAGAAGAGAAGGAAATAGCAAGGGAAAGGGAGAATGAAGGAAGAGACGACAATGCACAGGGAAGGATGGAGGAAGGAGCCACTGGAAGAAGTGAGAGAGATAAGGAGAGAATTTTAAATCAAGGAGGGTAGAAAGAGGGAGAGGAAGGTGAGAGGGACAGAGGAGGCCAACATCTATAGCTGAGGAGGAGAACGGGGAGAGGAGAAGGAGCGATATGAAGAAAAGAAAGCACAGCAAAGGGGCCGGGCAAAGAGGAGAGAAGAGAAGGAAAGGAAATTCAGGAAGAGGCAGCAGGAGATGACAGGACAGGGAGTAAGAAAGGAAACCCTGGTGGGACTTGGAGGAAAGAAAAAGGGAAGGAAGACAGAAAGGAAGAGGAGAGAGTGAGAGTTGAGGAAGGAGAGCACCGACAGAATAGGAGGAAAGGGAACAGAGAAGAGGAGGGAAAGGAAAGGATAAATGGACAAAGAGGAGAGATAAGGAGAAAAGGAGATGCAAGAAAAGGAAGAAGGAGTTGAGAGGACGGAGAGCGAGGAAGGAAACCCTGGCGGGACCCAGAAAAGAGAAGAAGAGAAGGAAGAGAGAAAGGGAGAGGAGAGAGGAGAGGGAGAAGAGAGTGTCGAGAGAAAAGGTGGCAAGGGAAGAGAGAAGAAAAGGAGGAATGAACGAAAAAGAAGGGTGGAAGAGAGCACAGAGGAAGAGAGAAAAGTAAGGAATGCGGTGATAGTTAATTAGCTAGGAGGTTATGGACTGATGAGGAAAAGGGGAAGTGAGAAGGAAAGAAAGATAGGGTAGACGAGTGGAAGACAAGAGAACAGTGAAGAGAGGTGCCAAGAGGGAAGAAGAAGAGATGATGAAGTAAAGGACTGTAAGAAGGTGTGAAAAAGATTGTAGAAATTGTTAGGGGGGAGAAGTGATAGAAGAAGGAGAGCAATTATAAGGGAATAGGAGGCTGTAAGAAAGTGTGAGAGATAATTGAAGATTGAAAATTGTAAGTTTGGAAGTGTATAAATTGCAACCCCATTGGGGAGTCAATAAAGACCATACATACATACATACATACATACTACTGGCTACGGTTGATTTAAAGTCTACAGAAGTTCGCGTCTTTTGACTCGCGGAACGGACCTTTGCGGTAGCGGGTTAGAATTCGTAATTTTTTCCCGACCTGGTTCTCACTCTGGAACCGGTGACAACATTATTTATTGCGGGAATAAAAATATAATTAAACTGAATTATTAGAGACTTACTTTCGTTGCTGACTTTTAATTAGTAGGTTGAGTAGGTTGACAAAACTTGTCGTCCTTCGCTAAGATGTAACGCTGTGCGGGAGCCAGGTTGCGCTGGAGACGACGCCAAGACGAGGACACAGATATTGAACTGGTCACTCTTTTTTCTAATTATGAATTCTCGCTCTTAATGCGCGCACACGAGACTAATTGCCCGGCACTGATTGAAGTTGACAGAAATGAATGAATGAATGAATCTCTTAGTCTTACGAGTTCTTTCTTTTATAAAACCTTTTTGAGAGCGTCTTCTAATTTTAAGAGTGGGATCTTTCAAAAACTTTAACGAATTGAAATTATGCAAAAGTAGGGATTTTTCAAGATTTTAACGAATTAGAATCGTGTCAGTGTCCTCATTCGGCAGGGGATGTCCCCTATTTTCGTATTTTTACCCGTGCTGATCGTCGGTTGGTGAGCTTGATATTAGTTCAAAAGTTCCTTAAACATTAGCCTTTCCGGGGGACCCTCGCGCACATGATCTGATTAGGAAATTATTTTTGTCGATGTTGATGCAGATTAAAATAAAATATTGTTGATTATAATTTCTCGGTGAGTGTCATGTGTATGTGTGTGTTTTAGTTCGCGGGTGTTACATTAATACGGAGGGCATCAGTCAGAAATAGAATGGAATGATTTTACTGTTAAATTTAGATTCTGACTGGTTAATACAATATAAAAGTATATTTAATTATAGGATAAGAAAAATAAGATCAAAATCAATATATATAAATCGATAGATGTATATATTAAGAATGGTCGAAAGTATAAAATTGGTCGCTCGCATATGTGTTAGATTAAGA